AGCTGCAGATTCCTGTCGAGATTGAAGCAGAGGCTTCTCCCTTGGTCGGCGCCCTCTCAATCCATGATGTAAAACTGGCTTCAAACTGTGGACAGTGATGCTGGTGTTCCAGCAGTTTCCACTTCATGTTAGTCTTGAGCCTTGGTGGTTCGTGGGTTATTCCTGAACATCCGCGGGTCTTCTTTCAGGTCTTAGTGGTGACAAATCGAATAACTTGTACTTACATAAAATCATTTAAACTGATGAGCTTTTGTAAATCTACAATCTTTCCTTCTCAGATCTTCTCAATGAGTTCTATCAAACAAATCATTTTTATGCCGCAAAGAGAAACTACCAGTTGGAGTCAGTCATGACCACTTACGAGAAGTTAGTGAGAAGACACTGTAGAACATATTAAATGTTTAAGTGAGTGCATGTATATATTTGAGCCTATATATATACTTTTAAGCAGTATATGTTCAACCTTGTGCACCCTGGACAAAGAACAGCTCAAAGAAATCATTAAAAGTCCAAAAATTACCACAGCATTCATTCAAGCTCATGATCCACGGATCAAATCAAATTAAATGTGTTTGTAAGCAGCTGTGCAGTTTGTAGTTCTCAGTTAGTGAAACATATCTCGTGCTCTGTGTCTCTAATTTTCACATAACAGCGCATATGAGAGGACGGCTAAAGTATAACCACCCCCTCTCCTCTGACTGTTTCTTCTCTCAGCTGGTGGCGAACGCTGTGCTGTTTGCGTGCGTGAACGCCATGGGAGTTTTTCACCTGTACAGGACTAAGAAAGACCTCCGGATATCCAATCAGAAGCGAGAGGAGTTCAGCGCCATACGCTCCCAGAAGGAAATAAAGAAATATCAGCAGGTCAGCTTCTCAAACAGACGTGACTCACATCAGGCCCACGAATTCCTTTCAGACCCGTTTCATTGTCGTTTCGTTTGGGCAGAGCATTCGTCCGCTCTGCTCACCTTTGTTTAGTACATTGCAGTTATTTGCTTACATGAATGACACAAAACTAAAGTATCTGACCCCGCCCTTTATTGATTTTGGCTTGGAGCGTTTTATTGACTTTAATGAAATATAATTTTGTTTCGATGTCTCTTTTGCTGCCAGCGTGACGAGCCAAAGAGTTAATTTTCTTCGCTCCTGCTTCAAATTTCCAAAATAAAGATACAAGCGTGTGCTTTAATCCATCCTACAGCTAAAGTAGTAAAATAAACAAATGAGATAATTTGATAAATTAATCTCTCCTCCATTCCTCTTGGGGGCAGCTCATTTAATTGACTCGTATGTGTAATCGCTCTCATTAAAGTCCTCTTTATGTGACACTGTATGCTTTTCTTGCTATTAGTCCAATAGATTAATCATTCACTTGTCTGAAGTCGAGCAGCGTATATAATAGGCGAGCCTGAATGGGAACCATTTACAGCAAGTAAACAAATAGATGAAACTTGATCCACCGAGTAAACATGGCAGCGCTTCAAGGAGGCTTTTGATGGCCATCTCTTTCTTTTACAGCCATTGTGAACTCCTCACCCACCTTCTCTACACACACACACACATGTAACCCCCGTCCTGTCTGTTTCCCCGGCAACAGGAGCAGCTCCTGCTGTCCGTGTTGCCACGGTACATCGCCGTGGAGCTGAAGACGGAGGTAATAAGCAGGCTGTCGAATCCCAAGAGCGACGACGAGAATAAGTCAACCTCACACAACTTTCACAGCCTGTATGTACGGCAGCACAGAGACGTCAGGTGAGCATCGCCGGGAGAAAGTGCTGATTGTCCTTTCGTGATGTCGACTGTGAGATCGTTCTATTATTCATGTTTGGTGGGATTAACTATCTCAAGAAGTACACAAAGTCCTGAAAATGTAAAAATATGCAATGAAGGACATCAGAATAAGAGGTAGCAGACATTTTCAAGCAGGTTAGTGGGGCTGTATACACATGTACCAAGAAAAGACTTCAAAAGTAGGAAATCAGGAATGTCAAGCTGATTTTGCATCGTGGGACACAAGCACTGATCTTAAGGGGGTCAGAAACTCTGCTTAGAAGAAGTTTAACTACTATTTGAATCGCTGACATACCTTAATATAAGAAAATGAAGGTTTACATGACAAAGCAATGCTGCTGTAATAAATGAAAGAAATCTAATAGGAATAAATGTGTCAAATATCAGAAAAAGCTCTGGGTGGTCATTAATGAGACTGACCCGTAATTATAAAACAGAAGGTTTTTGTTAGTTGACAGAAAAGCTGTAAAACTCATAAAAATACAGTTAAAAGTGGGTCAGATTGGATTGGAGTCTTTACCGGCCCAATTCCGGCACACGGCCCTTATGTTTGGCACGCCTGTATTAAATTGTCTCAAGTTCAGGTGTGGACAGGTGAGGTCACAGTGAAAGTTTCCAGCACACGGTTCTGCTGTTTACCCCCCCTCCACAAACAAATGTAGCAGTAGCGTCATCTGTTTGTGTCTGATGTCTGCTCAAATGACATAATGCTGACGTGAGAACAAGGCCCGGGCCCCTTCCTGAAGACAACACAAACACAGCGCTGTGTTTGTGAACCACTTTGATCTGGAAAAACATAATCATCTGTAACCACATAGCACCAACTTTGATATGGCGTCATATATGTGACATTTACGTTGTTCTTTAACATTACCGCAGGGTGCTGTTAGTTCAGACTTACCAAATTATGACCAAATGTACAATCTAAATATAGAAAGGTCTATATTTAGATTGTACAATAGGGCTACACCTTTAACATTTACACACCTGTTCTTATGTGTGTAAAAAGAGTTTGAGTTAGCTGATAAGGTATCTTAGCAGTTTTATCTAAATGCTTATAAAACATCCTGATTTTAGCTTGGTAGCAGGCTAACACAGTCTTGCAGTGCACTTGTGGAAACCTCAGAGGTGACGATGAAGGCAGTTTATTCATTAGTCGCCAGAAATGGGAAAGTGTGAGGGTGGCGTGCAATGATTATGATGATTAGAAGGACTTTAAGGCATAGAACAGATCCTTTAATGAATGGATGAGTGTCAATTAATAAGGCTTAAAGTAAAGTGGTGTGTTTGTCTGTGTGGGTTCATGTAGCATCCTGTACGCCGACATCGTGGGCTTCACGAAGCTGGCGAGCACCTGCACACCCGAAGAGCTGGTCGCTGTGCTCAACAAGCTCTTCGGCAGATTCGACGAGATCGCCAAGGTGCAAATGCCAGCTCACCCACCCCGAAATAACCCTTTCATTTCCCCACAAAGACTTGCTTTGTGTCAGCTCTGACCTCCCGGACTCACTTTCTCGTCCCTTTCTTTCCATATGTAGAGGAATGGGTGTCTTCGCATTAAGATCCTGGGGGATTGCTACTATTGTGTGTCTGGTCTGCCTGACCCCATTCCCACCCACGCCAAGAACTGTGTTAAGATGGGGTTGGACATGTGCACTGCCATCAGGTCAGTTTATCTCAAGTTATTTCAAGTTTTACTCATATTTAGGTGTATTTCAGGCGATTTTTTTCTCTGTCCACACATACAGATGACTGTAAGAAAAAGAAATGTTCTTTACGTTTGTTTAAAACGTCTGACGTGCCAAAAATAATTTTCCATCTGAGTGATGCACGTCGGTTTTGTGAATTTGCATGTGATGTACCCTGTTTAAGTTCCTCATTGTGCTTGTTGCGCTCATATTCAAATGTACGACTGAAAGCAGACTTTATCCTGCTGCTGGGAGCATACAGTAACTATAAAGAGTCCGTAATACACTGGTGCTGCTCATTTCAGTGAGGTCTTGTGTGATTTTGTCCTACAATGTTCATGAAATGTCAAAATATCTGGCTTTGTTTGCAGGGTTTTGCTCACATTTGGATAAAAATAGGTGTATAAATTTACATTACAGTGTTATGTGTCAGTCTGATGGGAAGATTAGTGATTGACATTAATGATTGGGGGTTATTTTAATAGTCTTTCATTTTTGATTTCCCCTCTAAGGCATAAATTAAAAACAACATTTTGTACAGAAGCAGCTTCTACAGGGCGGTCAGTGTGGGTTATTGTTTAAACGAACGAAACGTTAACATAAGATTATAATGTTCTTCAGCTGCATCACCATCTTTTCTTGCGTTTCACTGCACAAACAGGGGATTGCTACTTCTGCAAAGTATTTGCAGCCCTTTGTTTCTTATTTTTGTTGCTTTCATCATTAGCAGTCATTAGCATTAGCAGTTCCCAAGAACAGAAGTTTAATAAAATACAGTGTAAAAAAATAGAAATGGAAGTATGAATAACAGAACAGAAGTAAAAAAAATTTAAACGCAATGGAAGAAAAAAAACAAATAAAAAGGAAAAAGCACAAACACACACAATGGATGTTTTAAAGATAAAACACAAAGGAACGGAAGTGCTGGATGTTTTTGATTTTTGATTTCTTCTTATTTTCCTTTCTTTTGTTTCCGGGTTTGTCTGTCTCACTGGCTCCTTGTTTTACTTTGAAGGTTTGCTTTCGCATGTGACCTGATCTGGTTTTACTTTCTATTCCTTCCTCTCCCGTTTCCCCCTCACTCATTGTTGTCACCCGTTGACTTGTCTTTCCGTCTCTGCCCTTTGTTGAGGTTGTGCTGCTGTGATGTCCACAGTGGTGCACTATGAGATTAACGGCTCAGCGAGCTGTGTCGA